GGCTGCCCGCTGGCTCTGCAGGCAGGAGCGCTGCCCGTACCCCCCAAGAGCAGCCAGGGGCCTCTGCGACCCATCGGCTGCACTCAGGAAAGGAAAATCCTTATCAGAGGAAACCCAAAAAAGCCTCTGAATAGCCAAGATCATTATGGGCTGTGAGGAGCTGTAGTGCTGCGGATGGAGCAATAGCGAGGTGGTGTTGATGGAAACTTCTTGCTCTGTCTTCCTGTGGCTGAATGGTCCCAGCCAGGGGCTGGATCACCCCAGGGACGGATCCTGCCTGCTGAGCAGGGTGGTGGGGGTGCTTAGCCCAAAAGCCATGCCATGCCCTAGCAGCCCCCCAGCTCTGCCAGGCACTGCCCCGTGGCACAGGGGTGCAGCATCTGCCCTGTGCTGGCTCCATGGCAGGACAGAGATGCTGCCTTCCTCCTCCTCCTCCTCCTCTCAGGTCTCCTCTTGACCCCTGGGTACACCTGTCTCCTGCTGCTAATCCGTGCTACCGCAGGGTGACTGAGGAAGGGGCTGCAAACATGAGGTTCAAGGGAACGGGGCTGCGTGTGGCACCTGGGGGCTGTGCATGAGCAAATGGGGACACGTGGGGACAAACCCCGTGTTTGCACCCAGGCGAGCAGCTACAGCCAGCGGCACAACAGTCAGGCAAGAGGCTGTGTCTTAAAGATGTTTGCAAAGTACTTTGCTGTCTTGCCATGAAATGCATGAGAGCATCACAGAGCCTGCAACCTGCCCTGTGGTTTTGCAGGTCCCAGGCTGCTGGGGGGCTGTCACTCCTCTCCCCATTACCCAGGAGCAGGCAGGCAAGCTCCTCGCTGTTCCTGGCTGCAGAAAGCACGGGGACTGTCCCCGTCCTGCTGCAAGAGGAGAGCCCTCTCCCTCCAGACCCTGCAGAAGGGAAACCTGGAGTCAGTCGGGCAAAGCCGCAAAGAACTGTTTGCAGGCGGAGGATTAAAATTGCAGATTGGTTGAAAAGGAGGGATGCAAAATACCTTCCAAGTGAGCACAAAGCTGGTGTAGTCCTGCCAGCATGGCAAAACCCTCTCTGAGTCAGCATTTTAATCATTACCATCCCTGAACAGATCCTACTCGTTAGAGCTGTCAAAGGACAATTACTGGGAATGAAGTGTTTCCCATGTATCACTGCAGTTCATTGATTAAAGCCCATGCAGACGGTTTGGAAATCAGCTGTGCAGCTTCTGTAGGCACACAGGTCCTTTTGGAGTTTGTGTCTGGCTGTCCCTGGGGGCATATTGATTTTTTTTTTTTTTCTTGTCTGAGAGAGCTCGTACAGCTAAAAAAAATGTTGGCGTGCCTGCTATGTCAGTTCACACATGATATTCCTATCGCATGCCAGGAGAATAACAGCATCTCTGGGTGTGAAGCTCTGCCGCAAGCAGTCGCTGCAGTTGGCGGGATCATGCAGCTATTTGCCTGGGCTATTAAAAATGTCCCTTCCAATTAAAGTCACAGGGATCTTAAAAGTCACTGGCAATGTTGTCACTTATGTTAGTTGTCAGCAAACAAAGCAGCGTGCTGGGACGAGCCTTCCCGTGCTGCTGCAGGTTTTTTCTGCGTTTACAGCTCCAACCTGGCGAGCAGGAGCTGATGCTTCTGCAGGGTCACACAGCCCAGCAGACCGATGGGACTGCAATGATCCCAGTCGTATCGCTGCTGGACTTTCCCACCTTAGGCAAAAGCAGACTTTGGTCTTGCTGTGTTAATACATTTTGCACTTCTAGAGCACTTCATGCAATGTCCTTTCAGTAAGAGAGGTTAAATATAGCTGTCTGCTTGCAGTTGGGTAAACTGAGGCACAGAGCTGGGCGGTGTTGAGATGCCAGGGTAAATCGGCAGAGGGCTGGGCTGGGTGCAGCTATTTGGAAGCTGATGTGGGTGCTTTGCTCCGTATGTTGCTGGGTGTGGGTGGGCGAAGCCTGGCCGGGCTCAGGAGGGCTGCAGCGGGGCTGGGTGCTCCTCTCACCCGTGGGAATAGCCCGCAGGTCGCAGCCTGGGTCACCTGAGCTGTAAAATCCTGTCTGTGAAACGATGCTGAAGGAGTTTCTCTTTGTCTTTCACACTGCCTACAAATTTGCTTTTGGGTTGGTCTTGGATGGGGAAAAAGAAATCTGAAATAAAAATTCTGTTTGATTTACCTGGTTAAGCAGAAAACTGTCAGTTGTTCTGGGCAGCCTGGGATCTCAAAGCGAGCTGTCGGCCATCCGTGGTGGCACCACGGGATTTGCCTTGGCTCCAGGTGCTGTTGCAGGACAGGCTGCTTGGGAAGAGGTATCCTGCGTGTCAGCTGCAGCCCCGTGGCTTTGCTGGTAAAATGCTGATGCTTTATTGTTTGTTTTCTTGCTACGTGTCCAAACTAGTGCTTTTCATGGGAAAAAAGTATTTTGGTTAAAGTCATGAGATAGTATATACAGCCCTATGCACCCATAAAACCCTCTTCACATCCGAATATGGGCTGTAAGAGAAGGCAGACAAGAGATAAATCAGTTTATACAAGTGCCACACAGTCAGCCAGGTAGTGGGTCCTGCAGGGACGGGCTTTCGGGGCAGCGAGCCCCATGGCTGTGGACAACAGGAAAATAAAGCCCAGAGCAGTTGCTAAATTGTCCTGGGCAGGTGACACATTCAGAGCCCTGGCGTCAAATCCTGCATTGCTGCCTTCGTTACAATAAAAACCCACCTGGGTCATTAGAAGCCACCCCCTCGCTGGTGGGGCAGAGGATGTTTTATGGTGCTCCCCCCCCACTGCTCACCCTGGGAACCCGCCCGAGCCCCCCCAGGTGATACCGTGTCCTTGGTGTGTGCCCAGCCAGCTGCTCAGCGAAGATTTACGTCAAAATACTCCATCACGGAGGGCTGCAGCCACAGGGCAATACTCCTGCATGCTCGGCTCTATGCAGAAATTATTAATTTTTTTAACTCTTCCCAACTTTCCTGGATTGGGGAAAATAGGTCCCGTTGCTCTGCCTGCTGCACGGTCCCCCCCGGGCTGCCATGGGTCCCAGCAGGACCCCAGCCCTGGACCCAGCCTCACTGGTGGGGGTTTTGCCTGCATAATGAATATGTTTTGATTAATAAATGGTAATCGAGGATGGAGGTGAAACTGCAACTGGGTTTTATGCCACACCTATCCCATGGGCTCAGTCCTCTTCGTTCCTATTTTGGCACACACAAGTGGCCCCATGTTCACTGCAAACAAGGTTAAAATGTCCAACCGTGACGGTTGAGGTTTGCCTTCTTAGTGACACAATTATCTCAAGGAGTTCCTGTCTCCTGACCCCCCCACCTCACCCCCAGTTGTACCAATGCAACTGGTTCCTCTGTCTTTTAACCCTGATTCCCAGCACAGCCTCACGTGTGGCGTGATGGGGCAAGGAGCGAACGAGCGAGCCCGAGGTAAGAGGTTCTGCTACCAAAGGAAACGCGTCCTGGAACAGAATACAGGACCACCAGGATGCCAAAAACCAGGACCACAGGAGGCTCCAGGCTTTATGGCTTTATGTCTTTTGGTTTTAGGAAGCAAAAAATTTGTGTTTGGAACCAAATTCTGATTTTTTCCACCCACAAGTGTGATTTGGGCAGAGCATTAATGGGGGTCATAGCAATGGCCCCAGGACATCACAGAGTTCTTGGGCTGGTGTGCACAGGACGCTGGGTTTGGGCCAGAAAAGAGAAGAAAGAGCAAATGAGGGAGGAAAACGTGGTGGAGTTTTTTTTTTTCTTTTTTCTTTTTTCTCCTTTCCCCATCTGCAAGGGGCTGTAGGGGGAGATTTAATTTGCTGTGAGCCCATGGTGCCTCAGGAATGGGACAGGTGAGCACAGCGAGCTGGGAGGGCTGCAAGCCCCGTCCGGGCTGTCTGGGGGAGGCTGTGGGTGCTGCAGACACCAACCTCAGCCCAGGAGCTAAGCTGGGACATTGCTCATGGGAAGAAGGCGGTCATTTCACTTGCAAGCAGATAAAGGGCATTTTCCCCCTTCCTTCCCCCTGGTTTTGCATGGGTTGTTTTACAGCTGCGCTTTTCCACTATCTTCTCACCCCAGTGACTTCCCCATCCCCTTCTAAGCCCCTGGCTCCCTGTCCTCACCCGTTTCCAGACTCCCAAAGGCAGCTCCCAGC